GCATGTAGAATCTGATTCTCTAGAGCTGGTTTATATTATTCAAGGTAAGGCACGATGTCCTTGGAGGATGCGCAGGGAGTTACAAGAAATGTTGGAAGCTAGAAGGTTTATTAAGGTAGTTTCACATTGTTTTCGTGAAGCAAATAGGCCTGCAGATAGATTGTCTAATGTTGGGGTGGAATCGAGGGTATCTATAACGTATACGTCTTTTAATGAATTACCTCGTCTAGTAAAAGGTGATATCACTCTTGATAGGTTGGGTCTTCCAAATTTCCGTAGATATCAGGTTAAATAGCTGCTTCCATGCAGCATTTGTATGTTTGTGCTATCCATTTTCCTCTCAATAAAAAAAAAAAAAAAAAAAAAAAGAAAAAAAAAATCATAATTAACTAGCCATTAATTATGATTATCTAATATGTTAAATTTGTAAGGAGAATTGGAATTTAACACTAGTTCAAGGAAGTGATAAACATATGGAGTTCACTCACGAAAGTAGAGGTGCACCTATGTGATTTAAGTGACTTATTTCATGTAATATCATGGAAGAAATGAACTTGTAATTAATTTCATAACCACGAGAGTAGGTATGGCTTAATTACAAGTATAGTTGATTCACTACGAGAGTAGGTTTCACATACATTAGGAAATTACGCCATAACTAGTCAAGATAATAACATTCACTTAATCGGTAATCTTATTTACAAGAGTAGTGAGGAATTCCATATCTCTAGGAGGTTTCTAGTGTTAATTTTCATTATTTTTATATTTATGGTAGTCTAGATAATAAAGGAGTTCGAAAATCACCAGTAATTGTAATCTTCTCTGTGGGATCAACCCTTAATACCCTATACTCGCTCACGATTCGTATACTTGCGATAAATCGCGTGTGGGGTATTTAGGAATTATAAATGTAAAATTTGACTGTGGATCAGCTAAATGTTATATGTATACCCCACGCACGTTATTATGTAACTAAATTGAGGACTTTCATAAAATTTAGGCACAAATACAGTGCAAAATTGAAAACTTTCAAGCTTGAGGTGGGAGAAGGGAGGAGGTAGGGGGTAATTGCCCACCCCTAAGGCTATCTGACTCCTCCTTTGAGTATACATCACACGAACGGTGAGGAAATTCTCAAATAATGGTATTTTTCTAAAAGAGTTCCTAAATAGTACAAGTTTTTTTTTTAAATCACATTCAATTAAGGATTAATCTTTCCTACACTAACAGTGTATATACTGCTAGCGTTGGATGAATAACAACCATGCAAAATTTGAATTTGAAATTTAACTTTTACACACATGTCATGAATCAAATGGTGATAGTGTATACACTGTCAATATATATAAGATTTACTCTTTAATTAATACATTCTTTATAAATCACATTTACTGAATGCTTCTGTTCAGAAATAAATATTCAAAAAAAAAAAATCAAAGGATGCATTCCCTCAATGGAGCGTTTCTGGAAACAATGTTTACCAAATTAAAAGGTTTCCAAATCCATTTGATTTGACCAGGGCACTTGTACTTTGTCTACCTTTCCTCTTCTCCAACTTTTTCTACTTCTTCTTCTCTTGTCAGAAGACCTTGCTCATTGGAAAGCAGACCAATAATAGATTTTAATTTTACTTTGTTTTGCTAATAAAGTCTCTCCTAAGAAGTTTTAGTTAGAGATCGCTCTTTGTCCTACAAATTCCTAGTAAGAAATCCCTATTTCTCCTAAAAATTCCTAATGAGAATTTCCTATAGTTCCCAGTGAGATTTTGTGAAGTTTTTTCTTTTTTTTTTTTATAGATATAAATATCATATCTTTAATGATTTTTAGATCTTGAGTCTATTTTGTCAAATCCCATCTTTATTATTAGAGTTTAAAATAGTTGATTAGTAGATCCGGTGATTACAACATGCACAGAAAAGAGTTGCAGCAAATTATCTTATAAAAGGACAATCTTAAAATTTCTTGTGTTTGTCAGATCTGGTCATAAATTTTTAGACCTTTTGTATCTGTTAAATTATCAATCAATTATTTTTAACGCATATTTAACCTGCCATTAGTGTAGATTTTTGTAATTTAAATTAAATTATGTTGGACGATTTCCAGCATTTCATTGATGAACTTTGTTTTTGTCAAAAAAAAAAAAAGATTAGGACACTCGTAAGTCCGCCAATATCAAAATCTAGAAAGATAACAGTAATATAGTTGGAATGATAAAAAGAGACTTGCAAAAAAAAAAAAAAAGGGAAAAAAGGATCAGTGGATCGAAACTTACTGCTTTTGCCGATTCTGTATCAACATGAACTGATTTTTTGTTCAATGTAAAACTCATAGCTATTTTTCATAAAGCAAGAGAAAGTTAGCCGTAGCAGCATGCTACTTTTAGAATCTGAGAGCAAAACAATCACCGAACCCTACACAAAAACCGATGACTAAAGAGCCACCATATAAACTCAGCAGCGATAAGAGAAACTACTGCAGCAGTTACATGCAGGTATTTACTACAGTTAATCAATTGTTGTGGTAAATATTTAGTCATACCATACTTATTGAGTACGTGGCTACGAAAAGAGTGCTTTTATCACAGTTTTCATTCAGAGCTGTAATAAGTATGAATATTACCAAATTAATTGTTGTATGTCGGTCAGCATTAATGTTATCCAATAATCAGTAATCACCTTATTCTTTAAGTGAACATGTGTAATGCCCCAAATATATATATAGGTTATAGAAACATGTATGGAAATACTAAAGAATGCCTATTAATGGAAACATCCATCAATTAGGTTAGTTAATGAACATATAAACATGATGGACAACATATGTGATTGTAATTCAATTAGATTAAACATTTCAATTAGGTAGTTTTTATATGGAAGTATTTCAATTATATTTCACAGAGGTCCAATAGCGATTAACTTCGGATTAGTCAAGGCCTAATGCGGCCACCATACGCTGGGGTGTTTACTGCAAAAAATAAATTAATTGATTAAACATTTTCTATGGTGGTATTTCCAATTGCATATATAGGTCGATGTAATTACATGGGTGTCTATGTATGGTACAATACACAAGCATGTAATTTAACCTTTTAGATTGAGAACCCATGTCATATATATTGGAGGCCATTTCTTTTTATCATATTGGAAATGTACATATGGAAAGATTGTGCTTCAATTATTTTCTCTCCGTTACACCAACGTTGTGATTGAATTGAAGTACGTTAAATCCTGATTGCATAATAGTGTTAAACAACTGGTTTCGGGGCAGGGTTGGACTTTGTTTGACTATCGAGATCAAACGGTTGGGTGACAATTACCAATTCAATAACTTTGTGGGCAAATACATCTTTTTTTTTTTCAAAAAGTTTGGCAAGAAGTGTTGAAGGAAAATGATGGAAAGCCAATAAACATGGAGGATAACTGACCATAAATCTAGACAAGTGATTTAAGCATCAAGAAAAAAGATGGAATTCAATATCAAATTTGGACATAATTTTATTGGAGATGTTTGCACAACTCAAACAGCGTATACTTTGTTCGGAATGGATTTTAGTTTCGGGCTATATTTGTTCTTTGGGTAGTGTGACATACATCAGAAAGAACTAAAAGAATTTAATTTCTAAGCACCAGGACACTATGATAGCTATTAGATTTTCATTGAAGGTGAAGTCATGATGCCACATAACAAAAACTGCATCTAATAGAGGCAATGTCAGGGTCATACACAGAAGGACCCAATGCCGACAGAATTAGAAAGCTGCAATATTGCTTTCGGTGAAAAGTTGTAGCGCTTGTAGGATATGTTGCGTTATGAGCTGCATAAAAGTCATCCATGTAGGCAAAAGAAAGCCAGTACTTCTGACAGACTTGGTACGTTTTATTCGTTTTTGGTGGTGGACAAGTTGTCAAGGTCCAATTTAACAGTTTAAATAACTTGGGAATTGTGAGTCGGATTTACTTTCACCGGATTTCCTTTTTATTTTGTGCAAAATGTAAATTTTCTATTTAAATAGGAATGAAATTGTGACAAAGAGGAAATACAATTCCAGTATTACACCTATATAACTCTATTACATATTCAATACGCTAACAAACTGGAAAACATTAAGGCAAAAATTGGCATATCCACGCACCATTCTACAGTCAATTGCCAATTCAACTTTGATTTCCTAAATTATAATACTCTTATAGCCTTGAAGATTTTGTCCGTGCATTTGCAAGCGAATGAAACTAGTTGGATATACAAAATAAAAAACTAATTTGCCTATTTTGATGACAAAAATATTTCATAAGGAAGGACACTAATTGAAGCTTGACTGATTTATGTATACTGATTATAACCCGTGTTGATTTTATAAAATTATAGTAATTAAGATATAAACTAATGGAGAGATCAATGGAGAAAAATCCAATGAAGACGAGAAGCCATATGCAAACTTATTCACAACATATAGTAACTTCTTTCCATAAAGAAATCTCAGTTTTCTCTAGTCCTCAGAATCCTCCTCCGTCCTGCAAAAATGTGAGTAATTTTACAAAAACACAAATCGCATAGGAAGGATTGGTCCCAAAATTTTGTGGAAGCACAATAATTTAAGATGGGCTGGTCCCAGAATTTTTGGGGTGTACGTGGATGTTAGTGCCAATGTACGCCACTGTTGGAAGAAGGAAGAAGGTTTTTTTTAGACTTATCCATCATCAATTTTGATTTACATGTTTCAACCAATGGTCAACTTTCTTCGGCAGTTATGTAATTGACCCAACCTTATTAATTGTCAGCCTAGAAGGACAATCCTTGGAATTTGATTTACAGCTTATCTTGACTTAGAAAATACAATAGTTAAAAATATTGAGGTTCACCTAATCTATAGGTTCATCTGTGGACCTAGTAATCAGTTGGAGAGTCATGTTGAAGTCATATATGTTGACACTACTAGCATTAGATTATAGAGAAAATCGATGTGGCTATATAGTCCACAAGTAGTCTGGGAAATTGAGTCTACCAAAATATCTTTCAAACCCATTTAGATTGAGTTGCTCTGGTCCTTGAAATTAACCTTTCTCCATCCAGCAAACGCCAACGGATAAGGTTTTTGTGTACAGAAATAATACCATTCGCATTTTTGTTTACAGATGTTTGAGTTTTCTAGATGGTGAACATCTACTTGAGATAAACTCATCTATAACATGGCCAATCATTGTGCAACTAAACTCACCAGAGCAAAGCTGCAAAAATTACTGAAAAGAAAAGAAAAAAGAATGGCTGTCTCTTTGCAAGTTTGCAACCACTGTTCTTAGCAATAACACTCCTGTTGATGGCTTCTCTGATTGGGTCCTTCGAAGCTGCTGGAATTTCCACCTACTGGGGCTGAAGCGGTACAGAAGGAAGATTGATAGATTTATGCCGTAAACCAAAAGTTGACTGCACGAATATTGCCTTTCTGGAAAATTTTGGCGGTCGCCAAACACCTCAATTGAACTTATCTCAATGTTGTGCGCCGAGTGATTGTCCACAACTAAGTTCAGAGTTAGAAGATTGCCAGAACCAAAGCATCCAACTGTTAATTTCTCTCGCAGGACAACCGAACCTTACTTCCATCGATGATGCTCGTGAAGTGGCATACTATCTCTGGAACAATTTCTTAGGTGGTTATTCAGACTCTCATCCATTAGGCAAAACTGTTTTAGATGGTGTAGAGTTTCATATCCATAGTGGAAACCAGGCATCCTTGGATGATCTTGCTCGGGCACTATTGGAATACAATACCCTGGAGAAGAAGCAGATGTACTTAGATGCTGCACCGGAATGTCCTCTGCCTGTTCATGCTCTTGACGCTGTTATCAGAATTCAGAACTGGCCTTCTTGATTACGATTGGGTGGAATATTTTGACAATACCAGTGCTCTCTTCCGGAGTTGGGATGATTCGGCTTCGTATCCAGGCGATAATACATTATTCTTGGCACTACCTATATCCCCTCGTGTCGCACCTGAGGGCAGTTACATCCCACATGGCCACATCATGTGCTAATTCGTGACGTTCTTCCCTTTGTGAGGAAGTATTTTAATTACAGAGGAATCATAATTTTTCCCTACCTTCATCATTCCGTAACTTATATTGAAATAATCAGTGCTTACGGTATTAACAAGTTCTATGCTGCTATCTGATCAGTTCCTCTCGTTTTTCTACAGAGATGAAATGCAGTCCTGGTTGTTCATGCCAGCGACAAAAATGATAAATAAATAATGGGTTATCGATCCCCAGATTAAATAAAACTGTTGGTGATGAAACGCAATTGTGTTTGATTTTGAATTTGTGTCTGTTCTTCGTTAAAACAAAGTGCAAAAATTATGGTTGGTTCTAATTTTCCCTTGTTCTTCAGGGTAAAAAAAAAAGGAGTTGGAGAAGAAAAGAAGATGCAAAAGGTACTAGATGAAAACCTATTTCCATATTGCAAAAGGTACTAGATGAAAACCTATTTCCATATTGATTGTTGAAAACCTAAATTGCAGAAACCTATGTTCTCAACAACAAAAGAACTAAAAAATCTTATTTAAAATTTTCTTTGTGTATCCTATGTATCATTAGATATATATTTGTTTTCCAATATAAATATATTCAAATTGGAGCTTTGGTCACAACTTTCCTATGATGGCCCAAAACTTGTTACAGGAATATAGACATAGTGACGACATTCGGTGGTGTCATAGATAAGACCAGCCATGTCTTTATTGACGATCTTGGTTTCGTTACATCATTATTGCCATTAAAAGTTTGGCGCCAACCCCAGGTGAAAGCTAGAAGTCATATCAATGACAATGTTGTCATTATTGGTGTTGCAATAAGGACAACAACTGAAGTCATCACTGCTAATAGGCTGGGGATTTATTTAGTGACAGCATTTGGTCATCATAAATAGTCATTCTAGTTCAATGACAGTCTAGGAGATTTTTTTTTTGCATTATTAATTCACTATGGGTATATGATTATTGTGAATTAATAAGTATTGATTTTATATACTTTTGTATGGCCATTTATTTGTGTTTAAGTTTGTCTTTACTCGTTTTGGAGTTAAATGTTTGGGTTTAGTCAAAAAGTTGCATTTTGTGGTTAAAGTAAGAAAATTACATTTCTACGAATTTAAGATGTTAAAACTTCATTTTTTTTATAAGTTTAATGATTAAATCATCAAATGAAGTGAATTGAGCCTTTGGTCACAACTTTTTCTATGATGGTGCAAAACTTGTTACAGAAATATAAACATATTGACAACATTTGGTGTTGTCATAGATAAGACCAGCCATGTCTTCAATGACGATCTTGGTGTCGTTACGTTACGTCATTATTGTCACTAAAAGTCATATTAGTGACCACATTGTCATTATTCGTGCTGCAAAAATGACCAACAATTGAAGTCATCATTGCTAATGTGTTGGGATTTCTTTAGTGACAACATTTGGTCATCACAAATAGTAGTCATTCTAGTTTAATGGCAATAGAGCTATCATTGTCTAGGAGAGGATTTTATTGCCTTATTAATTCACTATGGGGATATGATTATGGTGAAGGGAAAATCGTTCAAAACGTGCCTCATATTTTGCAAAATGACTTTTTTCATTCCTCACTTTTAAAAGTGTATTTTAATATCCGTTACATATTCACATTGATCAAATTTAGTCCCTATCTAGGTTTCCGACGAGTTTTTAGTCGGAATCCACCACGTGCCTTGCACGTGATCATTTTTTACAGGCAAAATTGTCAAATCAAAATTTATATAATCCAATCCACAGTCCCTCATTTTACAAAATGAATTTTTTTCTCTCACATTTCACAAAATGAATTTTTTCATCCCTCACATTTTATAAAATAAATTTTTTTATCCCTCATTGATCATGTATACGAATAACTTTTTTTTAAACTCATATATATATCTATTTAATTCCACCTGAACAGTAAGTTCAGGCTATATCTTTATGTGATTTCGCCTGAACTTACTGTTAAGGTAAAATTAAATAGATATATACAAGGGTTTAAAAAAATTGTTAGTATTTCACTCATGTTCATTTCCTTTTACTCGAAAATTGAAAACAAAGAAGATATTTAATTCTAAATATTATCAAGTGTTTATATCGAATTAAATTTGGATAGAAAAAATAAACAAAGGAAAAGTATAAAAAAAGAAGTAAGTTATTGACACTTTCAAATATTAAAACAATCACAAGGCAAGAAATTCAACTATTAGTCTAAAAGGTGACGAGTAAAATTTTTAAATTTAAACTGCAATTTGTTAGTATGACTATAGAATTCAAAATAGAACCGATTAATTAGATGGCCTTATTACACAACTCAATAAATGAATTATTATCAAAAGAGAAAAGCTTACAAATATTGAATAGATTCACATGATGAAATTGAATAGATATATATATATATATGGGTCTAAAACAAAAATGTTAGATTTAAGCCCATGCATATATCTATTGAATATCACATATATAACTACAATTAATTTGTGTAGGTGAAATCAAATAGAGATATAGTATATGTTATTCGTACTGTTTAGGTGAAATCAAATAGATATATACATGGATTTAAAAAAAAAATAATTGGTACACATGGTCAATGAGGAATGAAAAAATTCATTTCATGAAATGTGAAGGATGAAAAAAATTTATTGTGTAAAATGTGAGGGATGAAATAATTCATTTTGTGAAATGTAAGAGACTATAGATCAGACTATATAAATTTTGATTTGATAATTTTGCTCCTAAAAAATGATCACGTGTCCAAAAACTAGTCGAAAACCTAGAAAGGGACCAAATTTGACCAATGTGAATATGTAAGGGACGTAAAAGTACACTTTTAAAAGTGAAGGAGGAAAAAGTTATTTTATAAAATGTGAGAAACGTTTTGAACGATTTTCCCTATTGTGAATTGATAAGTGTTGATTTTATATACTTTTGTATGACCATTTATGGTGTGTTTAAGTTTGTCTTTTCGCATTTTGGAGTTAAATGTTTAGGCTTCTAGCCAAAGAGTTGCATTTTGTGATTAAAGTAAAAAAATTTGCATTTCTACAAATTTAAGATGTTAAAACTTCATATTGTTATACGTTTAATGATTAAATCATCAAATAGAGAGAATTGAGCCTTTGGTCATAACTTTTTCTATGATGGTTCGAAACTTGTTGCAGAATTATAAACATAATGACGACATTTGGTGTTGTCATAGATAAGACCAACCATGTCTTCAATGACGATCTTGGTGTCATTACATTATGTCATTATTGTCACTAAAAGTCATATTAGTGACCACATTGTCATTATTCATGTTGCAGTAATGACAGCAATTGAAGTCATTATTGCTAATAGGCTGGGGATTTCTTTAGTGACAACATTTGGTCATCACAAATAGTCATTCTAGTTTAATGACAATAGAGCCGTCATTGTCTAGGAGAGGATTTTTTTGCCTTATTAATTCACTATGGGGATATGATTATTGTGAATTGATAAGTGTTGATGTTATATACTTTTGTATGTCCATTTATGTGTGTTTAAGTTTGGAGTTAAATGTTTAGGTTTCTAGTCAAAAAGTTGCATTTCGTGGTTAAAGTAAGAAAATTGCATTTCTACGAATTTAAGATGTTAAAACTTAATATTCTTATAGGTTTATTGATTAAATCATCAAAAGGAGAGAATTGAGCCTTTGGTCACAACTTTTTCTATGATAGTCCAAAACTTGTTACAGAAATATAAACATAGTGACAACATTTGGCGCTGTCATAGATAAGACCAGCCATTTCTTCAATGATGATCTTGGTGTCGTTACGTTATGTCATTATTGTTACTAAAAGTCATATTAGTGACCACATTTCATTATTCGTGTTCCAATAATGACAACAACTGAAGTCATCACTGCTAAAAGGCTGGGGATTTCTTTAGCTACAACATTTGGTCATCACAAATAGTCATTCTAGTTTAATGACAATAGAGCTGTCATTGTCTAGGAGAGGATTTTTGTTTTTTGCCGTATTAATTCACTATGGGGATATGATTATAGTGAATTGATAAGTGTTGATTTTGTATACTTTTGTATGGCCATTTATGTGTATTTAAGTTTGTCTTTTCTCATTTTGGAGTTAAATGTTTAGGTTTCTAGTCAAAAAGTTGCATTTTGTGGTTAAAGTAAGAAAATTGCATTTCTACGAATTTAAGATGTTAAAACTTCATATTTTTATAGGTTTATTGATTAAATCATTAAATGGAGAGAATTGAGCCTTTGGTCACAACTTTTTCTATGATGGTCCAAAACTTGTTATATAAATATAAACATAGTGATGACATTTGGTGTTGTCATAAATAAGACTAGCCATGTCTTGAATGACAACACCAAATGATTTTTTCCATTAGCATGTATAAACATATTAGATGACTGCATATGACTTGTTTTTGAGGTTCGAAGCATACATTTGCATATTAAGTGCATGGTAAATCATTAGGGTCACTATAGCTCATTATTTGACCATACAAGTATCATATGCGGTTCTTGGACATTAGTAGTAAAGTTTGTTGATTTTATTTTCAACTTTTTGCAAACTAATGGTTATTATGTAGAACTTTTACAATCTTTGACTTTCATTTATGTAGGTTATAGTTGAAATTCAAGAAAGGTGAAGTCATCGAAAATCCCAAACAAGAGGGCAATTCACCATAGAGGGAGTATTTCTTTTACTCTTGCTTTCATTTTCAAACATTGAGGACACTGTACACTTTAAGTGTGGGGGTTTTTTAATTATGGTGATTTGAGAAAAATGGTTCAGAAGTTTAATAATTTTGTCAATTTTAGAAGAAGTTCCATAGCCAATAGTAGTCAAAATTGTCCCTTTGTAGTCAAATTTATGTGACTTAAGAATCTTATTTCCTATTCGACTTGGAAATAGTTCTTATGTGACCAGGATTTTTACTATGATGAAAGTATATCTTGTAAAATGGAAATAATTATGTCTTGAATTTTGGATGCTTGATAAGTTTTCTATCTTGATTGAATTTTACAATTTGAGTGATGAATATAGTCAATATTTGCGTTACTTTTTTTGTGATCATTTTATATGAGGGAAGTTCCTAGAAAAAAAAAAAGAAAAAAACAAAACAAAACAAAAAGAAAGAAAAAGTGAGAAAAAGAAAAAGAAAAATATGTTCATTTCAATGATTCTTGAAACTTAGTAGCCGAGAGTCTTCATCTACAATTGTCGACTTTTGGGTAAAAAGGCTCTTGAATTATGAGTATGCAAAAGCAACTCTAGTTAGTGATGAAATTGAGTAACCGAAGGTCTTTAATTATCTACCAATGTCGATCTTCATATCAAAAGACATTTTCACTTCTTGAGGAAGTTTGTATTGAATAAATCCCTCTTTTGAATAAATAAAGATAATCATGGAAGTTGTATGTCTTAATTTGACTATATGAGTTGCTTAAAGGTGAAATTGAAGTGAGGGGAGAAAATGAGTTGAGCAAATCTTAATTCTTGATATAACTCTCTCTTCTTTACTTGGTATAATGAGTATTTGTGGTGAAATGAATGGTTATATAATAGCGATTTACCTTGTTATCGAGAAATGAATCTGAAAGACACATAAGCAAAAAGAGATACTCCCTCCGTCCCATTGAAAATGTCATACTTTCCTTTTTGGGCTGTCCCAAACTGTTTGTCATGTTTAACATTTCAAACTATTTTAAGCTATGAAATCTCATTTCTGCCCTCACTAATGATGTGCCAATGCATGTGCTTGTTGGCTCACAAATTGATGTATGGTCCCAAAGGACATCCACATGTCCCAACTTGTACCATGTTTGACTTCCGGCTCCAGCAAAATTCTTGGTTCCGATTCTAGCCAAATTCATCACCAAGAATGTGTATATGACTCTTTCAAACTTCAATTGAAAACTACTTCTGTTATCAAAAGGATAATTTCGATTTTTTGCAGTAAATAGAATATCGAGATGGCTTAATTAGTGATTTTCTTTTAAAACCTTTCAAATTTTAAATTA